TCTAAAAATTCTGTTGGTTTCTTTTTCAAATATTTCTTTTTTATAATATCTTGTTTGTTTTTTTTTCTTTTTAAAAATAGAGACTTTTACACTCCTAGTATCTTGATTTATCTTAGGGTTTGGTGATTTCTATTTCTATGCTTTTCCCACTCTGCTTTTTCTACTTTGTGCCCTCTATTAGTCTTATATATTACAAAAATACTCATGTTATATTCTCTTCTGGATTATCTTTACACGTATTCAAGCTCTTGGATTTTAATCCACTTCTTGTGTACTCACTGATGGTGGATTGTTTCCTTGTGGGCTTTGCAACATGTGACTATGTGCTTACACTGAGCAGGGAACTGTGGTCTGGATCATGGGATGGTTCCTCCTGTTTTTGATTTTGCTTCAGCCAGAAACCTCAAGTGCTATCATTGGGCTAGGGCCAATTTTTATGTTAATTTATCAGCTCAGTGGATAATGTACATTTGAATCACAAACCTTTATGAGGTACTAGATGTGGTTTTGAATTCTCAAGGAAGATACAGTCCCCTCTGGTGCTATAACCCAAAGTCCAACGTGAAACAGATAAGCTCTCTGTCATCTGTGACAGCTGTGGAGTTATGCCACTCACATCTCCATTCAGCTGCAAGGAGCCCTGCTAACTGACAGCTCAAGTAGTGAACCCCTTCAGGAAATGCCTTGGTTTTCATGCTTTTCTTAGGCAGCCCCAGCCCATGCCTGAGCAGGTAGGGTTCTTTCTGCCCAACACAGGACTCCTCTGATAGGCAATATTTGCTCTAGAGCCCATCGTCAGGTTGGCTGAAAGTCAGATCCACATCCTGCTCAGTTCCTGCTTCCTTGCCTCTTTGCTTTCACAAGTGTTGGCCCTGCCTTGTGGCCTGAGACTTGCCTGAAAGACCCTGCTTCCTCCTCCATTTATGTTCTATGGGCATTATTCTCCAGTAGACCTCCTGAACTCCAAACCATGTCTCAGTGTCTGCTTCCCAGAGATCAAACTAACACATCATCCTTTAGTGTTGGGATGCATTTTTTTCTGAATCATGTATTTGATGAAGATGAGGCCCTTGAAAATGAGACCTTCAAGGGGCTTCATGTGGAGGTGCCAGCTTGTACCTTTGTCAGGCCAAGGCCTACATATCCTTCTCTTCACCCCACTCCAGCTAGGCCCAGCAGCGACCCATGTGCTGACAACTTGGGTATAGTTTTGCCTTCATTTGGGGCACACTGGAGTTTCCTTTGATTTCATTCTATCTTAGCTCTATATTTAAAGTTATATTTATTAGGTCCTATCTGAAATTTCCAGATGTTTATAACTGCAGTGTATTTGGGTCATACAATCCACAATATTTGCATTTACTATTCTTTGACCACATTTTTTTAAAAACATAAATTATTTAAGTTATATATTTCATGTCTAAATTGCATTTTTAATGTTTCTAAATAATCGGGTACAAATTGTACAACTCTGGGTTAAAAGAAACTGACAATTATAACAAAATTAGAAACTTCATTTTATAGCTGTCAGGGAATAAAGGCCTCCTTATTTCTTCTAAGTTTCTTGCCTCATTTTAAAATTTAATTTTTTAGATTTTTATTTTTTGAGACAGAGTTTCACTCTTGTTGCCCAGGCTGGAGGGCAATGGCGCCATCTTGATTCACTGTAACCGCTGCCTCCCAGGTAGGTTCAAGGTATTCTCCTGGCTCAGCCTCCCGAGTAGCTGGGACCACAGGTGCCCATCACCATGCCTGGCTAATTTTTTGTATTTTTAGTGTAGATGGGGTTTTACCATGTTGGCCAGGCTGGTCTCAAACTCCTAATCTCAGGTGTTCTGCCTGCTTTGGCCTCCCAAAGTGTTAGGATTACAGGTGTGAGCCGCTGTGCCCAGCCCCTTGCCTCATTTTCATTTATTTAATTTATTTATTTGAGACAGAGTTTTACTCTTGGTGCCCAGGCTGGAGTGCAATAGTGTGACCTCAGCTCACTGCAACCTCCACCTCCCAGGTCCAAGCGATTCTCCTGTCTCCTGCCTCAGTCTCATGAGTAGTTGGGATTACAGGCATGCACCACCACACTGGGCTATTTTTTGTATTTTTAGTAGAGACGGGGTTTCTCCATGTTGGTCAGGCTGGTCTCAAACTCTCAACCTCAGGTGATTCTCCCGCTTTGGCCTCCCAAAGTGCTAGAATTACAGACATGAGCCACCGTGCCCAGCCTGCCTCATTTTTAAACAAACAACTTTTACACACAAAGCGAGGGATGGTCTCATAAGGTGACAGAGGGAGTCTGAGCAGGGGTCTGTGGAAAAACAGGGGAGGTATCAGTTCCACCTGCAGACATCCGGGAATGCTGGGTGATGCTTTGGGCCAAGACCTAGGGGAAAGTGGGAGCACACCAAGTGGCCCAGAAGGAGGGCAAGGACACGATACGCAGTGGGAACAGCATGGTGTCAGGGAAAGGCTGGCAGTCAGTTTGTGTAGAGGGTGAGACGCAAGCAGAGGAGCAGGAGATGTGTACAAGGAAGGAGTTCCTTCATGAGGGCTGGATGTGCTGTGAAGTGGGATTTTAGCCAGCAGATGATGAGGAGCCACTGGAGCACTTTAGATCAGGGAGCCTGGTGAACAGAATCCCAGTTAAAAAGGCCCCCCTGGGTCAGTATGAAGGATGGACTGGGGCGGGGTGGGGGTAGGAGTTACAGACTTAAGGCCCAGAGGCCTCTAACAAGCCTTCAGTGTGGAAGAATAATCAATGAATGCCAGGGAAATAAGAGTAATAGTTAACAAGTGGGCAGAGCAATCTTCAAAGATCTTGATGCTGTTGAGATGGTTTAAGTGCAGCTTGACCCATCTTGCCTTCAATCTGCCTGTGAACATGACAATGATGTAGCATTGCTACTTAACAATGGAAAGAGTTGGAAGGAGGGGGCCATCTTCAGAAGCGTCGGGAATAAGAGAACAAAACTGTAAAAAGATGAAGGAAAAGATGTCAAGAGGAGCCAGCGGCAAATGAGCACCTTTTGATGGGCAACAGAGGGTGGCCAAGATGAAGGAATGGCTGGAACGATGAACCTCAAATGTTCTCATTTTGGCACAAGTTATTTTGGTGCCAGAACATATATGAATGTCCCAGGGAGTATTTGGCCTGGCTTCAGAAAAGCAAGGAGGGTTGCCCTGAGTTTTGGGAGGTGTGGTAAGCTGAATAATGCACCCCCTGCCCAGGGTGTCCACATCCTATTCCCCAGAACCTGTGAATGTGTTAACCTTACATAGCAAAAGGGGCTTTGCAGATGTGGTTGAATTTGGATCTTGAGAGGGAGAGATGATCTGAGTGAGCCCAGTGTAATCCCAAGAGTCTTTAATGAAAGGAAGACAGTGACAGTCAGAAAAAGAAGTGACAGTGAAAACAGAGGTCAGTGATTCCTGTTGGAGGAAGGGGCCACAAGCCAAGGAATGGAGGGAGCCTTAGACATTGGAAAAGGGGAAGAAATGAATTTTCCTCTGAAGCCTCTGCCTCTGGAAGCAATTCTGCCCTCAAGACACCTTGATTTTAGCTCCAGAACTCATTCTGGACTCTAATCACCAGAACTTTAAGATAAACATGTGCTGGCTTCAGCCACTAGTTTTGTAATCATTTGTTACAGCAGCAGCCGGGAACTACTAGAGGAAGGGAACCCCGTGCTCGGCCAAGCAGGATGCTCTGGGGCTGTGGTAGCGCAAGGGTTCCCAGGAAGTCCATGGGGAGTTGTGGCCCCCTCATTTGCTGATACTTGTCTGGTCTTCCTCACAACTGACCGGGCACCTCCTCTGGATGTATGAAGCAGAACTCAACTCCCCTGCCCACACCTGCTCCTTCCTATGTCCTCTGTCTTGGTGAGTGGCACTCAAACCAGAGACCAAGGAGTCTGTTATTTAGGGAATGATGATCCAGGATTCCGGTCATGAGACTCAAGATTTCTGCATGAGGTGTGTGGATGAGAGGGAGTGTGAGAGCGCACGAGACGGCTAGGAAGGGTATGGAGTGGAGAGGTGCCCCAAGCCAGGCAGTCAGCTTCTCCTTGCTGGAGACATATCCAGTGGGGCAGGTGGACCAGAAGCACAGCAGAGAGGTCAGGGCTGACGAGGAGGGCAGCTGTGTTCCCATCCCCAGCTACCCTCACAGCAGCCAGGGCAGATCTATGACCAGAATGAAGACTGAAAACACGAGATAAAAACTCTGGTGGGAATATGGGAGCTAGCCTGGCTCAACTGGCATCAGATGGACTTTGCTCCAAGACCTAGATTGCAACTACAGGAATCACGGTCCTTTCTTTACTTCCTGCGGAGCCAAGATAAGATGCAAGAAAAGGCTGGGTGTGGTAGCTCACATGTGTAATCCTGTAATCTGGGAGCCCAAGGTGGGTGGATCACCTGAGATAATGAGTTTGAGACCAGCCTGGCCAACATATTGAAACCCTGTCTCTACTAAAAATACAAAAATTAGCTGTGTGTGTTCGCAGGTGGCTGTAATCCCAGCTATGTGAGAGGCTGAGGCAGGAGAATTGCTTGAACCCAGGAGGGGGAGGTTGCAGTGAGTCGAGACTGCACCACACTACACCGTCTCAAAACAAAACAACCCCGAAAAGATGCAAGAAGAAAGCATCCAACATCCACTTATCTTTGATACTCTGCAATTTTTCTCCCAGACCTTCCTATCTTCATCTCTGTCATCTCGGATCACATATAACTTAATGACATAAACCATGTTTATATCCTGTTGGAAAGTGATTTGATGCGTTTTGATTCTCTCTCCAAATGTCAGTTTCTCTTCATGGAGTCAAATTTCTCCAGAATCTTCCTCTTCCATTCCTAGTTCGCAAGGTCAGTCACCTGTCTAGGTCCAAGGTGACCAAGCACAGAGGAGGGCACTAAGAAAGCTGACTGGACAGCCCCTTAGAGGTTGTGTTTAGGGGCATCAGTGACAAAGACACATGCCTAGGAATGGAACGCAGCAAACTGCCTTGGTGCTGGTTAGGTTTTATTTTAACAGGATGTCTTCTCTTCATTTATTTTTTAAAATATCAGTTATATCAATATTAGAAGTGTAAACAGGTACAAAATATACAGTACATAGAAACAATTTTCTTAACTAGTCTATCGCCTAATAAAAGTATGCATGAGGGAGCTGAACTAATGGGCGTCGCCAGGTCCCTCCCTCTGCAGGGGAGACAAGAGGACCAGTGGCTGCTTCAACAAAACAGGAATGGATATTTGTGTGGTCGGAACAGCACTGTGGTCGAATCAAGAAATCTGGGCCCACCTTTCTGATGTTAGACGCTGGAATGAACATGCCACTTGGCCCCCATACCCAGCCTCTAGAGCTGTGCCCTCTACGTGCCCCTAATGGGCCTGAAAGTGCACACCCTAAGGAGGCTGGGGCACAGTGGAGGCAGCTGCTACAAGCAAAGTTCCTTCGAGGCCTGGTGACTGGACTCTTGATGGTGTGGGAGAAATATTTTAAGAGGGCAAAGCCGAAAACCTCTGCTCCCCCACACCGATGTTCCAGTAGGATGAAGCGTCTCGCCTGTTGCTCTTCCCCACTCACGGCATACCATGTGTACCCACAGTGAGAGGCTGAGAGGCGTCCCCTCTGAGCGGTTTGTTTCCTCACCTCTAAAAAGAAATCCCTGTCCTGCTGCTCCCCAAGGTCACAGTAATGATCAAATGAGATGCATTTTGAAAATGAGAAACCACCACACAAAGGGAACAGGAGACAGAAGCATCTTATGAAGTGGGAGGCAGCCCCAGGCGGGGTGGGTGGCCAGGCTTTGCTCCGGGCTCTGTGAGAGTTAGATGTTTTCGGTGCAGCTTCCCAGTTTTGGTTTCTCCCTCTCCAGACCTAACGCTGTGATTTGAGACAACTCGCCCTTATGAGGCCAAGGAGTCACACTAGGGGACACCACTAAGTGCCCTTAGGACGGGTACTGCAGATGGCCTGAAATAAAGTTGGGGCCAGCACTTTTGGGGGGCCTTTCAGTAGAGGCAAGCTGGGAAATGCAACCGCTGCTCCTGGAGGGGTCCTTCCTGCCGCTCTGAGGTGGCTCCAAGGGACCCAGTAGCCCTCACTGCCCAGGGGCTTGGCACTCAAAGCCCACCCAGCCCACCTGGGCAGAGCAGGGGAGCCTACAAGACCCCATCCCCAGGAGTCAGTGGGGCCAGGGGTCCCCAGCTGGCCAATCTTCCAGCACACTCACTATCAGACTCAGTGAGATCGTGACAGAAACACACACCCTGAAAACCAAAAGTACCTACAAAATTTAAGTGGCCCTATTACTATTTTCCAGCTTTTTCCTCAAGAAAGAAAGAAAGAAAGAAAAGAAAAGAAAAGAAAGAAAGAAAGAAAGGTTTGTAATTAAATTACTCCAAATTCTACAGCGCTCAGATTTCACAGAGATTCTACTTGGTTTAGAGGTGGCAGCTGTCCTGGTGGATCGTTTCTCCTTCTTCAGTGATCAATTCAGCAACTTGGACATTTTGGTTCTCCCCATCCCGCGTCTGCCTGAAGCTTCCACGTCGCCCTGCTGCCTGCACACTGGGCTTTTTACATGTGCGGCTGGTGCCGCGGGGCTGGGGGCGCTCACATGTCCCCGCCATCGGTTGGTCCCAGGACGCTGAGGCCACAAGTCCAGTCGGTCACAAGATCTGTGGAGGCCAAGGGTCCTTTGGCGGCAGGGCTCTTGAAGGGGTCAGGGGGTACAGATGGCGTCGGGAGCGGCTGGCCGCGGGCCGGGGTCTTGGCGCCGGCTGCATGGTTGCGCTGGTGCTTGCGGAGGTGGTCCTTGCGGATGAAGCTCTTGCCGCAAACAGTGCAGGTGAAGGGCCGCACGCCCGTGTGCGTTCGGTAGTGGTCGATGAGCTTGGAGCGTTCTGTGAATCGCTTCTCGCACTCGGTGCAGGGGAAGGGCCGCTCGCCCGTGTGCAGCATGCGGTGGCGGATGAGGTGCGCGGGGCGTGTGAAGCAGCGGCCGCACTCCCCGCACCGAAGGGCGCTGCCATCCCGCGCGCTGCCCCCACCGCTGCCCCCGCCGCCTGACCCCTGGGCCGCCCCGTCCGGCGCCCCGCAGCTGCGCTGGTGGGCGCTCAGGCTGACCTGCAGCTGGAAGCTCTTTCCACACGTGGCGCAGGTGAAGGGCCGGCCCCCGGGGGGCGCCGCGGGGTGCTTCTTAAGCCCCGGCTTATGGCCAAAGCCTTTGGTCCGGCCAGGGTATTTACAGGGTTCGTTGAAGGGCCTCGGGGCCTGGCTGGGGTCCAAGATGGCCTCTCCGTTGTCCGGGGAGGAGTAAGGGAGACCCTCTGGCCCCGTCCTGGGGTTCAGGCCCACTGGCGGTTTACACCGGAAATTCCAGCCCCACCGGACCCCCCCGAAGAGCCAGTCCCCAGGAGGGGTCTCCTCCTGGGCCACGGCAGGGCTGAGCTCACCCATGTCCCTCTCAGGCCGGGCTGGATCTCGCAGCCCCAGCACGGGGTCCTGGCTGGGGAAGGAGCTGCCCTGGCTTTCCCAGGCTCCTTCCTGGGCAGGACTAGGGAAAAATCGTGTGGCTTGGCCTGGTCCAAACAGGGTCCCGTGAGCCTCTAGGTCAGTAGGATGCACGGGTGTGGCCACCACCTCCTCTTCCTGGACTTCTGTTTTTATTACAATTTTTACATCTGCTGAGAAAGACGGAAAGACAGATATCAACCTATCCCTTACCTGCTGAGGGAGCCACGATCTGCCATCATCATTTGCTCAGCAGCTGCTCAGCCACAGGAACTCCACCTAGGCCCCCCGTGGCCGAGCCCAGATGGCAGCTCAGCAGAGCAGCCTTGTGGTCGTGAGGCTGCCTCCCACCTGAGGACACCAGTGTTCTAGCACAGGAAAAAAACCACCATTCTATCTGCTACCCAGGTTCCATTTTTCAGTTTGGCTGTTAAGGCTAAGCATGAATTGATCCTCAGAAAGGAATTCAGACTGCTGCTGGCACTGTGCCCCACCACAGTGCAGGGGATGGGGATTCGGACAATTCTGCTACACACACACCAGCTGCGGCTGCAGGCAGTTTCTAACCCACAGCTCATCTGTGAATGCCCACTGCACAGGTGTGAGGATTAAACCAGAAAACACATCTGAAAGTGCCCTAGTGAGCTATCTGATATGCAGCAGCCTTCAATACATGGAGATACTGGCTAATGATCAAAATACAAGTGAATAAGAATGTGTTTGATTTTATATAAGTGTGCTTACGTTCTGAGGCTTTATATCAGTGTGGCTTTTAGCACATTTTTTGGGTGCTAAAATATGACGTTATTACTCAAAGTAATAACGTAATAAAGTAATAAAGGTGACTGGTCCTCAAAACAGAAGTAAACAGAAAACTAACAGATAAATTTGGTGGGGGTTTTTCTGAAATCGGCCTTCAGACACCTGTCTTTGGCAGTACCAATATCTAAGAAGTTGTTTCAGTTTGTTTTTTTTGCTTCCTTGCCAGAGAGAAGCCACAGTTGATTGAGCTTGGGAAGGAGGTATATCCTTCAAGCGATCAGCTTATTAGAACAGATCACTTAACACCATATGAAAACACAACAGACTGAAACATGGATGTCCTCAAGAAGGGGTGCTGATGCCTATGATTTGGGAAGGAGATAAAGAACAGAATGTACAAGGTGTCATCAGAGTGCAGGCCCCTACTGTCTGTTGGTTGGAAGGTTAGAGCAGTTCACCAATGAAAATGGGACGCCTGGGCAGAGTACTCCCCACAGGCAGTCGGGGCCCTTCCCTTCCTCCTCTCCCACCCCCATACCTTCCGTGGAGGCTGCTGTGTTGAGCTTCAGGGTCCCGTCCGAGCATGCTGAAGAGGGATGGTGGGGAGGGAGATCCGCCTGCCAGGAGGTGGGTGGGATGGTGGTGGTAAAGTTGGAATGGACACCTGCGGTAAGGAAAGAGCAGAGCCTGTGGGTTAGGGGGGGAGGGATGGCTGAAGACTGTCTGGGAGGACAGTGGGCTAAGCTCTGAGTCCTCCTACACTGGGGGTTCTTCTGACTGAGCATGAGACCTGCCCTCTCTGAACCCAGTGTCTTTTGTCCCCTTCTCTGAGGTGCTGGGAAGCTCAGACATCACCAGTGTGTTTCACACAGGCCTCTCAAATAGCAGCAGCCAGTGACTTCAATGCCCAATGCTGGGGCAAGAGGGGTAGCAGCACGGTGATGCAGGGACCACTGGAACAGGGCCAGAGAGATGCCCAGGAACAGCATCAGCGACCTGAGAGAGGCTCAAGACAAGTTCTTCAGTACAGTCCCACCTCAAGATGGGAAAATTTCTAATGTCAGGCCAGAAGTGTTGAGGGCCCACAGCTCCCCCATGCTGCCATGAGCCCTTCCCTGTCCCTCCTGAGATCCCTGCAACTCGTTCCTTATGTCCCCATCTCAGCCACTCACCAGAGGTGGCATCTGTGGAGATGTCTCCTGCTCCAGAATCCAGTTGGCTGAGGCCCCAGGGCTCCTCCCCGATATCTGGCTGCCCGGCTGCCCACGCCTCCACACCCAGGGCCTGCTGCTCCTGGAGCTGCAGCTCACCCTCCTGCTTGATCTGCATCAAGAGGTCAGGAGCAGGAACTGGGGGCCCCGAGCCTAGGAAAGGGAGCAAGTGTAAGGATACAGCATCACAGCCCCTCAGCCCGGGGACAGACACGCACCCAGCCAGAGAGATGGACAAAGAGTCCTTACAAGGGTCCAACAGCAAAAGAGCCTGGTGGGAAGGGAGGCAGCAGCAAACAGGATGGGGGCCTCGGGCAGAGCCTAAGGTCCCATGGTATTGGCAATGTGAGTAGGATAGGAAAGGGTGAGGTGGGGAGGGGAGGAATACAAAAGTACATTCTCAGGACTAGGATACCCATCCAGGGAGAAACTGAGTTGCCCTGGGGATGGCCTGCCCTCACTTGAAACACAGAAATGCTTAACAAAAGTGAACCCCAAGTCCCTCCAAAACCTTACTGCCCTCATATACTTAAGTAAGTTCAAAAGAGAAGATCCTAGAGGTAAGAATGAGAGAAAACACAACGTCCACTCAAGAGTTGCAGTGGAAGGCAAGCAACCTAGAAAGTGGTTGGAGGCCTTAAGGGCTGGGCGTGTGGCCAAGTCACCTGCCTGACACCAGGAACTGTAGGCTCTGGCCTGGCTGTGAGATGGGGACTAGGAAAACTCCCAACTGCCTGCAGGAACCACCAGGAAGCAGTGTACTAGTCCAGGGCTGTGTGGGAAATAAACCCATACAAACTTGGAATCCCATGTCCACACAAAATTCACACTACCCACACGGGCAGACACCATAAACTGAGAAATTCACAGAAAAATTGGCTGACAGCCATGGCAACTCAGGAGGCCCCAGCATGGGCAAATGCAGATCCGCCCCAGAGGGGCACCCACACAATTCAGGCCACAGGGGGCTCCCTTACTAACTAAAACCAGAAGAAAAACGAAAACGCACAAAACAGAAGAGGAGCCAAATAGCGATGAGAGTCATGGCAGAGTTCACTCCCACGAACTACAGAAAAAAAGGAGAGGTTGAATGATACAGTAATGTAAGTATATCTAAGATCATCAAAGAGATAAAGAACAGAATCTTTAAGTCAAGAACAGCAAAAGACTATTTTTTAAAAGGTAGATTTGAAAAAGAACTCAACATTCTAGAAATGACTCAGGCAGTTGTGGAAATGAAAAACTCAATGGATGGCTCAACAACAGCAGACTGAACATAGCTAGAGAGAAAATTAGCAACTTGAGAGATGGATCCAGGGAAATAATCCAGAGTACGACACTGAAAGATAAAGAATGAAAAATATGAAAAAGTTAAGAGACATGGAGGATAGAATGAGAAATTCCAACACATGCTGGTAGAAATCCCAGAAGAAGAGAATACAGAAATAGGTAAAGAAATAATGATTGAGAATTTTCCAAAATTGAAAGCACTGTCAATCCACAGTTTGAAGGAACAGAACAATTCCCAAGTAGGTAATAAAACAAACAAACCAACCTGTACAACATTCATGTGAAATGGAACCACAGCAAAGACAAGGAGAAAAATCTTAAAAGGTACCAAAGAGAAAATAAGGCATTCAGACTAAGTGTAGATTTCCTTCAGCAACTAGGATATCAGAAGATAATGGAGTATCTTCAAAAGTTGAGAGAAAACATCTGTCAACTCATGAGGCTAATACAATTTTTACTGCACTAACAAGAGGGATAGTATGTGAACAAATTTATAAAATAATCTCATATATGAACAGATATGCAAAGATTCTAAATGAAAGAATTACAAATCAAATCCAGCAATATATTTTCAAAAAAGAAAAAAGTATAATGTATTATGAACACATTGGCTTTATCCTGAGAGCTCAAGGATAACACTAGAAAATATAATAACAAACAAAATTAAGATTAATAGCAAAAACAATACGATCAGCTCACAGATGTAAAAACAGCATTTAGCTCTTCTATTGCTGACATACAGCTGGCTAGATGTGCAGAGAAACAGCAATTCCTCCCAATGTGGAATATCTAAAATTGCTGTGTAGGCTGGGTACAGTGGCTCATGTCTGTAATCTTAGCACTCTGGGAGGCTGAGGTGGGAGGAGCTTTTGAGCCCAGGAGTTTGAGGCTGCAGTGAGCCATGTTTGCAGCACTGCACTTCAGGCTGGGTGACAGGGTGAGATGTTGTCTCAAAAAACAAACGAAAAAAGGCAGCCTGGGCAACATACAGAGACCCTGTCTCCACAGAGAGAGAAGAAAAGTTACAAAAAAATAGCCAGGCATGGGGGCATGCCCCTGTGGCCCAAAAACTTCCAGGTCAAAACTCTAGCTTGAAGTGGCCCTAAGTCTGCACTGGCATCAAATGACCAGCCAAGGAATGTATACACATTCTCAGGAGGAAAGCCTTTTAAACACAGCTTTCAAATAATTAACATACTCACAATTACACATCACCATCTCAAGAAAACCAGCACTGCAAACAAACTCAGTAGAAATCATGAACTGGAGAATATGACCTACAGACTTTGGATATTAAAAATTATCATATAAGGAATATAAAATTTAATTATTTACAGAAATAAAAAGGGATAATGAAAGTATGAGAAACAAGACTATCAAAACTGACTAAATTTTGAAAAAGAATCATGTAACTTTAGAATGGTAAGAAAAAATAACTGAATTTTATTTTTTGGAGATGGAGTCTCACTCTGTTGCCCAGGCTGGAGTGTAGTGGTGCGATCTTGGCTCTGCAACCTCCGCTTCCCAGGTTCAAGCAATTCTCCTGCCTCAGCCTCCCTAGTAGCTGGGACTACAGGTGCACTCCTCCATGCCCAGCTATTTTTTTTGTATTTTAGTAGAGATGGGGTTTCACTGTGTTGCCCAGGCTAGGCTTGAACTCCTAAGCTCAGGCAATCCCCCATCCTTGGCCTCCCAAAGTGCTAGGATTACAGGCGTGAGCCACAGTGCCTGGCAGTAAATGAAAAAATCCAATGTATAGGTTAAATAACAGAATGGGAATCATTGAATAGTGAATAGTGAACTAACTAGAGGACAGAAGAAATTATTCTAACCTCAACATAGAGATGGAGCTAAAAATATAAAGAAGGATTTGAAGTTATAAATGCTAATATGAAAAGGTTCCAGAATAAAAGGTTAGAGAGAAAGGGGGCAAGGCAAAATTCCAAGAGGGAAGATAACATGTTTTCCCAAACTGGTGAAACAATTAGTGATTAAAGCAGGATAAATGAAAATAAATCCACATCTAGATGCATTGCAGGAAAACTGCAGATCACTGAAGACAGAGATCTAAAAGCAGGCAAAGAAAAAAGGCAGATCATCCACAAAGGAACCGTGATCAGGCTGATGGCAGATTCTCAATAGCAACGACAGAAGCCAGAAAAAAGGGGCAAATTATCTTCAAAAGCTGAGAGAAAATAACACTCAAGCTAAAATTATGTCTTTTCACTATAGTTGTCCCTTGGTATCAGTGGGGGATTGGTTCCAGGGCACCCCATAGATACCAAAATCCACGATGCTAAAGTCCCTTATAAAAACTGGTACAGTACTTGCATATAACCCCCACACATCCTCCTGTGTACTTTAAATCACCTCTAGATTACTTATAATACCTAATACAATGTAAATGCTATGTAGATAGTTGTTACACTGTATTGTTCAGAGAATAATGATAGCAAAAAACTTTGTATATGTTTAGTAGACACCTGTTTTTCAAATGTGTGGTTAGTTGAATCCACAGATGTGGAACACATAAATATAGAGGACTCCCTGTATAGAGATGGACTAAGATATTTTCAGACACATATAAACTCATATACACATACAAATTAAGGGTTCGTTATCATCAGACCACAAAAAATAACTTCCAAAAAAAGAAAAAATTTCCAAAGATTCCTCGAAAACAATAGAATGTATAATTGTCAAATTAATTACAATAAAGGAAAAAACCTAAATGGATAATTCCCAAAGGATGGGCAGGGAAAAATACAGAGAAGGCAGAACTAAAGATTAACAGCACAATTTAAGATGGTTGAACTACTAACCATAGTCAATGTAAATGGTCTAGACAAGCGCTACGAAGAAAAAAGAATGTGAACCACATATCTAATGTTAAGTGTTCTGGTAGCCATGTTAAAGAATAGGTGCAGGGGGTGGGGAGCTGGGGAGAGACAGCATGGGGAGAAATGCCAGATATAGGTGAAGGGTAGGAAGGCAGCAAATCACACTGCGAAGTGTGTACCTATGCAACTATCTTGCATGTTCTTCACATGTACCCCAAAACCTAAAATGCAATAAAAAAAATGTAAAAAATTAAAAAAAAAAAGAATAGGTGAAATAAATTTTAACAGTACATTTTCTTTAGCCCAATATATCAAAAAGGTTATTTCAATATATAATCAATATAAAATGATTCATATTATTTTACACATGCATCTCTTGCACACGTCTTTTTCTTCATACACAGTTTTTGAAATGTGGTATGTATTTTATCCCTTTAGCCACATGTGGATAGTGGCTACTGTTGTGGATATTTAAAAGGTAAAGGTAAAGATTATCAGACTAAAACCAAACGAAACTCCCAGCTATCCGCTGTTTACAAGAGATGCGCCGAAACAGAAGGCTGCAGAAAGCAATGTAAAGGAATGAAAGATGTACTAAGCCAGACAATGTAAAAAAATGATGTAGCTATACCATATCACATGAAATAAACTTTAAAAATAAAAACAGAGAAATAAAAAATTACTGCATATAGCAACCTAACCAGGAAGATAAAATAATTCTAAGTTTTTAAGCTTATAATATAGCTTCAAAATAATAAAGCAAAATTGAGAGAACTCTAGGGAGGAATGAAAAAATCCTCTTTACATGTATCTTTTTACATCTTTTGATATATCTCTCTGTAACTGATAAATCTAGCCAACTAAAGGTTACAGAAAATATGACCAACTCTACTAACAAACGTGATCAAAGGGAGCTAAGTAGATTCCAAACACAGAGAAAACACAAGCTTTTTAAGCTACACAGAACATTAAGGAAAAATGAACATTTTCTAGGTCAACAGACTTTAGCAAAATTTAAATAAC